ATGAAACGAGTATGCATTTAGTTAACTTAAAAACTTGCATTACTAATAATTTATCTTTTGCAGAAGTTCAGAAATTCTATTTTTAATAAGGGAAATTTGTTTCACTTTGCAAACTGTGATGGGATGATATTGTAAGATTTATTAGATATGTCAAACAAACATCTTTTCTAAAGTTTTATAAAGAGTAGGCTGACATGAGAAGAAAAAACATACCACTTTATATCTCTGTATGGGTAAGCTTCTTTAAAGTTAAATATGACTTTTTGTTAAGTATCCATGTCATTGTCAAACCTATGTATGACTCAGACTTTTTCCTGGAGGCTTTTGGTCCCAAACCTGAAGAAATCTGTAGCAGTTATTAATCTGAAATATGAAGTGATTTTCTTTATGTTTCATTTGCAGTTCTGTTCTTGATGTGCTTAAACAATAAACATATCCTTTTGAGTGCTTGTTGCATGTAAATGACAAATGAATGCATGATGGTATTCCCATATATGCGATTCATTTAGACATTGTATGAATCTATGTATGCTTAAATTTGTACAGGTAAGGGAAAAGTTGTTGGAAAAGCAAACAGCCATGGAAAGATCAGAAAAAGCCAAGAAACTTAGAGAACTTAGAAAATATGGTAAAAAGGTAGGTTTACCTTGTTTATACTTGATTAAGGATTTTAAAAAAAAAGATATGCCAATGGTGCATTAGATGAAAGAAGTTGATAAAATAGCTGTTTATAGTTATAGCTTTTATCATTAGTTCATCAGTATTTTACACTGTAGGTCCAAGTGGAAGTTCTTCAGAAACGACAGAAGGAGAAAAAAGAAATGCTTGATGCTGTCAAAAAATATCGTAAGGGACAGAAAGACAAACTGGATTTCTTAGAAGATCTGCCAGGGGAGTCAAGAAACAAACTAAACAAGAAAAACACAGATAAACTTAGGTACAATATTACTGAAAGATTTAAAAAGATACTGGCATGTATGAAAGCTTGTTGAAACAGAATTACAGTTCTTGAGCGTTTTCTAATATTACTACTTTAGTGAATTGACCTTGCTTGAGAACTGTAACTATTACAATCTTATCTAAGTGTTGCAGTTTAAACATTGGAAGAATTATGACCATGTCTGACCTTATTAATTTTCTTTTGTAAAATCCAATTAACAAATGTACATTACAAAAGTTAAAAAAATATGTTATCTGTAGCAAGAAACTTACTCAGGTATGAGATAAATCAATCAAATTGTAAATAATAGAGTTGGAGATGTCTTTCTGTCTGACTTAAGAGCCCTCTATACACTGCACGCTAAGAGTTCTGATTTTGTGGTATTTTATGCAGATAATCTTAAGACATACTTGTAAATATCATCCCCATCATTCATGCATGTAAATGTCATCCTCATTAGACGTACATGTAAATGTCATCCTCATTAGATGTACATGTAAATGTCATCCTCATTAGACATGCATGTAAATGTCATTCTCTTCTAGACATACATGTAAATGTTATCCTTATAAATAGCATCCTCATTTAAACATACATTTAAATGCATTAATCACACTTATTTAGACAAAATATGAAAATGTCTATTCATTTAGAATCATAACGTATACGGTACATGTAAATAAATGTCCTTAATTTAGACATTAGTAATTTTCCTTTTCATTGAGTCATTCATTTTCATTTCTAGTTTAAATGTTAACATACATGTAAATGTTATCTTAAAGTTTTTTGAAAGTACATGTACTGGTATTTTAAATGAATATTGGCACACAGAAATGTTAATCATGAGGAAAAATTTTAAGTAAATTTCTCTAATAAAAGAATGCATACACACATATATACATTGTTAGCTCACCTGAGCCAAAGGCTCAAGTGAGCTTTTCTGATCACATTTTGTCCGTCGTCCGTCCGTCCGTCTGTCTGTCTGTCCGTCCGTCTGTAAACTTTTCACATTTTTGACTTCTTCTCAAGAACCACTGGGCCAATTTTGACCAAACTTGGTACAAAGCATCCTTGGGTGAAGGGGAATTTAAATTGTTAAAATGAAGGGCCAAGTCCCCTCACAAGGGGAGATAATCAAGAGAAGACAAAAATAGGGTGGGGTCATTAAAAAATCTTCTTCTCAAGAACCACAGGGCCAGTAAAGCTGAAACTTATATGGAAGCATCTTGGGGTAGTGTAGATTCTAAATTGTTCAAATCATGACCCCCGGGGGTAGGGCGGGGCCACAATAGGGAATCAATGTTTTACATAGAAATATATAGGAAAAATCTTTAAAAATCTTCTTCTCAAGAACCACTGGGCCAGAAAAGCTGAAACTTATGTGGAAGCATCCTGGGGTAGTGTAGATTCTAAATTGTAAAAATCATGACCCCCGGGGGTAGGGCGGGGCCACAATAGGGAATCCAAGTTTTACATTGAAATATATAGGAAAAATATTTAAAAATCTTCTTCTCAAGAACCACTGGGCCAGAAAAGCTGAAACTTATGTGGAAGCATCCTGGGATAGTGTAGATTCTAAATTGTAAAAATCATGACCCCTGGGGGTAGGGCGGGGCCACAATAGGGAATCCAAGTTTTACATTGAAATATATAGGAAAAATCTTTAAAAATCTTCTTCTCAAGAACCACTGGGCCAGAAAAGCTGAAACTTATGTGGAAGCATCCTGGGGTAGTGTAGATTCTAAATTGTTCAAATCATGACCCCCGGGGGAAGGGCGGGGCCACAATAGGGAATCCAAGTTTTACATTGAAATATATAGGAAAAATCTTTAAAAATCTTCTTCTCAAGAACCACTGGGCCAGAAAAACTGAAACTTATGTGAAAGCATCCTGGGGTAGTGTAGATTCTAAATTGTTCAAATCATGACCCCGGGGGTAGGGCGGGGCCACAATAGGAAATACAAGTTTTACATTGAAATATATAGGAAAAATCTTTAAAAAACTTCTTCTCAAGAACCACTGGGCCAGAAAAGCTGAAACTTATGTGGAAGCATCCTGGGGTAGTGTAGATTCTAAATTGTTTAAATCATGACCCCCGGGGGTAGGGCGGGGCCACAATAGGGAATCCAAGTTTTACATTGAAATATGTATAGGAAAAATCTTTAAAAATCTTCTTCTCAAGAACCACTGGGCCAGAAAAGCTGAAACTTATGTGGAAGCATCCTGGGGTAGTGTAGATTCTAAATTGTAAAAATCATGACCCCCGGGGGTAGGGCGGGGCCACAATAGGAAATACAAGTTTTACATTGAAATATATAGGAAAAATCTTTAAAAATCTTCTTCTCAAGAACCACTGGGCCAGAAAAGCTGAAACTTATGTGGAAGCATCCTGGGGTAGTGTAGATTCTAAATTGTTCAAATCATGACCCCCGGGGGTAGGGCGGGGCCACAATAGGAAATACAAGTCTTACATTGAAATATATAGGAAAAATCTTTAAAAATCTTCTTCTCAAGAACCACTGGGCCAGAAAAGCTGAAACTTATGTGGAAGCATCCTGGGGTAGTGTAGATTCTAAATTGTTCAAATCATGACCCCCGGGGGTAGGGCGGGGCCACAATAGGAAATACAAGTCTTACATTGAAATATATAGGAAAAATCTTTAAAAATCTTCTTCTCAAGAACCACTGGGCCAGAAAAGCTGAAACTTATGTGGAAGCATCCTCAAGTAGTGTACACTCTAAATTATTCAAATCATGATCCAGGGGATAGGGCGGGGCCACAATAGGGGGAATCCCAAGTTTTACATTGAAATATATAGGAAAAATCTTCTCAAGAACCACTGGACCAGAAAAACTGAAACTTATGTGGAAGCATCCTGGGGTAGTGTAGATTCTAAATTGTTCAAATCATGGCCCCTGGGGGAGGGTGGGGCCACAATAGGTATTACAAGGGGGGAGTCTGGTAATGAACAGCATGGCCAAAGTTACTCAGGTGAGCGATGTGGCCCATGGGCCTCTTGTATTTATTTTCTCAGCCTTTCTCATATGTATAGGTTTTGATAATATTTTTTTCATTTGTATTTCAATTTTTTTTATCCATATCTGGTTATTAATTTTGAACCACTTTACCTTAGGCAAAATAAGAAAAGAGAATATAAAAATAAGAAATTTGGGTTTGGAGGACAGAAAAAGAGATCTAAAATGAACACCAAGAACAGTGCCTCTGATATGTCTGGATTCAAACCAAAAATAAACCAGAAAAAACCAGGCAAACCTAAACCAGTAAGTGCTTTGTTTATTCAACTATATACACTCGTAATCTTCTCTGATGTACATGTAAATAGCTATTCAAAATTTCATTAAATAATTATATTTTTATTGTTCCTAGCTGTCAATGGCATAGTTTATATATAGAATGCCATACATGCATTAACATACAGCTGTACTTAAAGTACTGGTATCTGACACTTCAATATCTCAAATACCATGGATATGCCAAAGTCATTTGGAAGTCCCAAACACTTTTCTTTGATGTATTTTACCCTCAATATCTCAAACACTCAGTTCCATTGAGTTTGAGACATTGAGGTTTGACTGTATCTTATACAATAGGAAGTGTTTGAAGCAATTGTACTGTAGAAAATTTTCAATTAATAGATAACCTGTCTCTAATAAATTTATATTTTTTCTACTGCTTCACTTTTTATTTCTTTTTTTTTTAGGGCAATAAAAATAAAAGACCTGGCAAATCACGGAGACTTTCTGCCAAAAGTAAAAAAAGGAAGTGAAATGTAGTAATTCACCACTCATCTGTTGTTGTTTTTGTTATGAAAACGGTGCTGGTGAACTTCACATATGTGTTCTGACTGAAATGCCATGTGAACTATCCTGGAGGATCTGTAACTATAAATCTTCTTGGGGGAGGGGGGATCAACACAAAGGAATACTGCAAAGTCAAGATTTTGTTATTTTTGTGCTTTAAGATTACAAAAATTAATATAAATTTTTACTTCTTTTTTTAACATGTATGTATGCATGCATGTTCCAATAAATTCTAAAGAAATGTTCGTGTTATTTTATTTCCACAAAATTATGACTGTACATAAAATAGGTGTTGCACATTCTTACATAAGAACCCGCATTATTTATAACAAATAACAGCTTTATTTAGACATGGCCTCAGCACCCCTGCTTCACATTCACAATTTTCAGAATGTCCTATTTTGCCATGCACTCCAAGCACAAAGTAACAATTTATATGATTGCAATGATTACAATAAATGAATATTAAGACATGTAAATTAAAACACATTTCCCTAGTTCATGTTCTCTGTTTGTTCCTTTACTCTCCAGGCAGCGTCCATATATTTAGTGATAGGAGTATTTTGTCTGTAAAAGTTGAGCCTGCGATCTGACCTATCAGAGTCAATCTGTAATTAAAATGCATAAAAAGCTTATTTATTTAACCTGAGGCAAAAATATATGTAAAGGATTTTGTTCTTAACAGTTAGTTCATAACCCCCCCCCCCCACCCCCCCCCCCCCCCCTGAAAAAATTGAAGATGTCTTAATTTGCATTGTACATCAATCTCAAAATCTCAAGAAAAATTGTCCCTAGTTTCATCAAAATTTTTAAAAACAAATAAAAATATTGGTTAATAAAAAGTTTTTCTTAAACTTATAATAAAACTGTTTGATATTAAATTTTCCTGTAAATTATTTTTCTCTTACCAGAGGCTTAGTAATCCATCCTACTTCCTGAGCTTCTGTTTGGGGGTAGACATACTTTTTCACTGGTTCTTGGTTAGCTCTTTTGATCACATTTTTGAAATGAACTGTTGAGGAAAGGAAGACGAGAGGTAATTAAACAAATAAATTTGTTGGATGGGACAAGTTTCATTTCAACTATAAAACATTCTGTGCTAACGTATCGGAAATTAAATTTTACATGTTTGATATATCTGTCATCGGTTCTTAGGCAAAGCTGTTGTGCAATTGGTCCACTATAAAATTTCTTGAATTAAGGAGTATACATGAAGAACGATTTACTTCACTATGGACTTTACTATAACATCTTAAACTACAGATGTAGAATCTTATGTCAGACGTGGGACAAAAAAAAAATCATGAAAATGAAAAGAAAATGATTAACTAAATGATTTTCATGTTCAGGATGTTTCATTGAAAAACACAATGCAATTAAGTACTTACCATCTTCTTCTCCCTCCTCTGTGTCATGTCTGGAATTTGGCTTTCCTGTGATCACATGAACTGAAAAAGAGGACAAAAATTAATAAGTTTTGTTAATTATGAAATCATTTCCTTGTAACATACTTGAAAAAATGTCAATTTTGAAAGGGTTAATTGGATTTATTAGAGTATCAGTAAATTTAAGTTCGCAGTTTTCTACTGAGATGCAGAAGATGCTCTTTGCTTAATCTTGAAAAAATTAACTAAATTGAGCATGTCTAAACTAGAAATGTACAATGCAATTTTCAATGATGGAATATTTTCATAATTTTGTACGAAAAATCGCAAAGAATAATTAGCAAAATTACCCAGTTACATATGTGTACCTATCCAAATCCTTTATATAAATTATATCTGCTGGCAATTTATTGATACATTTGCAGAAAGGAAAATGGTATTATACTTTTAATTGCCATTGGCAAAAAATTCTTACCTGTCTCCTTCAGAAAAACATAATTTTCTTTTTACTTACTTTTTTTAAACGGATTTACACTGTAGTTTGTGTACAATTTTTGATGTCGCTGTTCTTTAGTTATTGTTTCACACAAAATAGCATTTTGATGCACAAAATTTACAGGATCCTTTTCTTTTGTAGCTGCCGCAGCTTTTACCATGATTGTGTTGTATGTTTTTTCCCGGATGTTACGTAAAATTGTTGAATGGTTGCTAAGACAGTAGAGAATCGAAAGGCCAAGCCCGATTTAAAAAAAAAGTCCATTCTATATGTTATTTATGTGTCTAATTCCAGTTAAAAGCCTTGTTTTGAATAACATTCGTGAAACAGATCTTAGTATTCTTGTTTTGGTTTGATTTGTTATTTATTTATTTATTTATTTATTTATTTATTTTTATTTTATTTTTTTTTGGGGGGGGGGGGCATCTTTATCCAAATCAGGTGAAATGGCATTTAAAAAAATCTTTTTGCAATTTCGTGTTTTAAGATACAAATTAATTTTATATAAATAAATAAATAATTAAGTTAAAGGGTCAAATTAGAGTATCGGGGATATATTTATATTATTTTAGGTGATTTCATTTTTTTTCATTGAATTTCAATGCAGATGTTTTTAAAAATACATTTGGGAAGGATGAAGAAATAGGGCTATCTTGATAGGGAAATTTTGTGATAAACATATGATGCATGTACAAAGAGTTTTACAAATTCCATTTTTTCCCTAATGTTCTTAATGCCAAAAATATAATTTTTAATTTATAATTTGTATGTATTTGAAATTCATTGTGTGTGTGTGTTTTTTTTAAATACAGTGATTTTAAAATCTTTAATAATATCCTGCTCTAAGCAACTCAACCATCGTCAATATTAGCAGGGACCTATTTACTAGTATGTAGGTCCCTGATATTAGGTACTTTGCGGGTCATTAGTAAAATCATAACGGGAAGTGACGCCATCTTGCAAGAAACATCCTGTACAGTTACAAATAACGATAATAACAAAGAATTTTAAGCATATGCAGGTTTGTAACTGGGATTGAATACATCTTTTTTTATCAGGTGAAAGTAATTATGATTGGAAGCAGCCTCTTCAACATTTTTCAACTTCTATGTACTATGTAGTTGCATTCTGTAATGTTTATTTTAGTCTGAAAATATCAATTGCCTCCCTTTGTTTTGTATATTGAAAATAGATATCAAATACAGCTTAAAATAACATCAACATAGAAATCATCGTTTTAGTATTGTGGGCGATGTTTTGCATTAAATGATATGTGTTTCACAAGCTTAGTTAAATCAAAAGATGATATCCGATCGATCGCATCTTCATACATGTGATAAGTCAAAGACCAAAAAACTGTACAGGAGCCATAAAAAAACTGGAATTTGGGTGAAAAAACTGTACACTGCCAATCAAAAAACGGTACAAAAAACGGTATAAAATATCACTTAAATTCTTCTGATAAGGCACCTTATTTCTAAACCAACAAATGTATATTGTTGCAAATGTCTTATTTTAAAAGTTGTAATGGAGATTTGAATGCTTTAAAATTTCATATATTGTGTTTTATAATCACAATGTTCTTATGAATCGACTATAAATTAAGCTAATTTAGATGATAGTTTGTTTGCCAGCTTTATATAGTATTAAATTAACGTGAGAGTCAATGTCTCCAATTTACATCTTGTTTATATTACTGATATATACATCAGCAATGTTAAATAACAGCAGCAAATACAATCATACATAAATTTCAGCACATAAAAACTTAAAACTATATCCTTTATTTCAGCGTAATCATGGTAATAAACATCGTATATTTTATATCTACGGAGATCTGGGTCAGATTCATGTATATCAACTTTAGAAGTTGGCTTAATTTTTTTTTCAATCAAGTTACGAAACATTAACAGTTATAATTAAGTACCCCTTTAAAAATAAAGCTACCTAAAGGGGTATCTTGATACGGATTTATAGGAAGATAATTATCCTAATTGGCAGTTCACACCTTCACATGCGATGGTTTGTGTACACTAGTTACATAATTATCAGAAGGTCAAGTGTCAAACACAGGTGACGTTTCCAGTGTCTCGCGAGCGAGAATGAGAGGGAAATGGCGGCATTTAGCGAGAAATTCAAAATACTGTACAAATTTTCATATTCCGTGAATTTTGGTGTCCCGCCGGTACACGATGAATGGGCTCGAAAAAACTGTACATTTTGCGTACCGCCTGTACATATCACATGTATGCATCTTGCACATCATCATGTCCAGCACAATCTCTTGAATTAACTATATAGCCGCCCCTATATAGCTTAATTAAGCTGTTCAGAATAACTTATTAAAGCTATTTATATGTAGTTTTTCACAAAAAAGTTTTGGAATTGTAAGAAATAGACAAAAAGTCACAAGTATGTGACTATTCTTATTTTCATATGTGTACTATGGACTATGAATACGAGTGTGACTAAAATGGGTAGTAAAACCCGGGCCGGGCCGGGAATTTTGAACCTCAAAACCGGGTTTTTGCTAATAACTGAAAAAATACTTAATTATTTGTCATGAAACTCACAGATGTAATTTAATACAACAAAATGTGTCTTCGCTGAGAGTTTCAACTCCAAATATTACTTTTTTCAATGATTATCGACGATTGTCATTTTCCCGGTGACTAAAATGGGTAGTAAATCCGGTTTACATATTTAGGTGTTTTGTACTTAATATTATTGAAATAATTGCAGTTTTTTGTAATGAATAGATCGAAATGAACTTAAACTGCCAAAAAATTATAATCATTTTATAAATATTTACCGATTGCAGAAAATAAATGCATTTTTTGAATACCCGGGACCGACCAAAACCGGACACGTTTACCCGGGACGAACCTTAAATTTCCGAGATAATGATGAGAGTAGTAAATATTCCTGAATCAAGCCAACTGCATAGATTTTATTAAATTTACTGGTAATATCTTCATGATCTTAATTTAACATGCCCCAAGCTATATCTGCAGATATATATATGTAATTTGAGGAAAATGAATACCTGAATACGAATCTAGCTGTAGCCTACAGTCTTTCTCTTGTAAAATCATTAAGATACATAACTCCATTAGTATTTTAAAAAAAAAGAATTATCGTGATTTTTGTGTATATTTCATTTATTTTCTCCATTTGTTGATTTATTTTATTTTTGGGGGGGGGGGGGGGGGAAGGTTACTTTTTTAATAAATTCTACATTATTCTGTACATCCGGTTATTTGATGGCAATTTTTCGGAATATTCCAGTTTGTCCCGGGCAAACGCGTCTGGTTTTGGATTGTCTCGGGATATAAAATATCGGCGATTATTTTAATTATCGACATTAATTTTTGCAATTGTCGTGATATTTAAGTTCTTAAAGTTAATTAACAACGACAAAATACAAAGGAATCCCATTTTTTGAGTGAAATTAGCTTTAAATCACCAAAATGAATAAACCGGGCTTACTACCCATTTTAGTCAACGGGAAAATGACAATCGTTCATAATAATTGAAAAACATAATATTTGGTGTTAAAACGCTCAGCGAAGACTCATTTTGTTGTATTAAATTACATCTGTAAGTTTCGCGATTAAGAATTCAGTATTTTTTCAGTAATTAGCATAAACCCGGTTTTCAGTTTCAAAATTCCCGGCCCGGCCCGGGTTTTACTACCCATTTTAGTCACACTCTATGAATCCAGTTGGTTTCGCCCCAATTACCTGTTTGCTCTGATAGGTTTCGTGCCGTTTCCCTGTTTGCCCTGAATGGATTTGCCCCAAGTCATTTTCTTCAAATGTATACAGTGTGCTTGATGTTTATTTAAGCCAAAGTCGTTTGATTAATGAGTGTTTAGATTAATATAATTATTGAGCACTTTAATAATTAAATTCAATTATGAATTGCCAATCAATACTAATGAATAATAATTTCCAGTCTGATTTTCATGACAGATCTATGATACAAACTTTTCTTTTAAAAATCATGAATAAGGGAAAAAAAAACAACAAATTCATCTGTGTTGAAATGTGCAAAATATATGTTTAGTTTAATCATTTCAATTTTATTCCAACAATTTCCATCTTTTTTTCAAAGTTTGATCTAAGTAGATTTACTTCATTAAAAATCTAATCAAATAGGTGTGCTGCATTGTTTGCTTTAAATAGATACAATAAAATCCTTTTCCATAGCACATATGCAAAATCCACAAACAAAAAACATTGAATATTTGTCATAGCAAACTGCCAAAATACAGACATGGAAAAATTAGAACGTTTTAATTACAGGTAGCAGGTATAATGGGGATGAAACCACTCGCAGCAAAACCACTCAGAGCGAACATGTAATGGGGCGAGCCCACCCATTACCTGGACTATCAAATAAGCAACCCATGTAACAGATAGTCCTAACATTGCTGCTTTTGAATACTTTTAAGCAAAAAATGTTTTTCCACTGTTTGGATAACTGTACACCACTTTGTGTGTGTTGAGGCATGGATAAGTGATTGCTTCACATTGTGCTGAATTATTACCAATTATCAAATGTTTGGTCACTCCTTATTTAAATTGGCACAATCTGCTTAAATTTCAGACTTTGCTGTAATATTAATGAGTTATTAGTTAAGTTAATTAGTTCATTTAAGAATTATGATAATTTCAAATTAAATTATTGAATATTTTATTTCAGTGAAATCTGATTACACATTGATGGATCCATGGATCCAGAATATGAAAAGAGACTTCTAAGGCAGCAGAATGGACAAATTTCTCCCTATGCATCGGTACTTTTTTTTTTTATTTGTGAAGGAAAAAGGAAATAAAAATTCAAGATGTTTGGTTGAGAGGTATCTTATTAATAAAACAATTGCTGAAATTTTGTTTACTGATTAGTTACTTTAAAGCAGACTTTAAAGTAATTTACAATGAATTATAAGCTATTAAATCTATATTAATTTAAAACATAACCTGAATTTCATATGTATTTACCCAAACCCTCTCTGAATATTTTCAGAAAATTCTTTTTATACTTGTAGTTTTCATGTGCTATGCCTAAATAGTGTTCAGGGATTGACATAACATGATATAGTGAAGTCAACTTCAGGTTATACATAAACCTTGACAAATATTTTGGTATAGTACATACAAAATGTACATTATTATGTATTTTCCTTTACTTATTCATTTTTTTT